CAGGCTGGGGATGGACAGATCAGAGCAGCCCTGCCCAGCAGGACTTGGGGGTGCTGCTGGGTGAGAGGCTGGGCATGACCCAGCCATGGGCACTGCCAGCCCTGAGAGCCAAAGGTGTCCTGGGCTGCATCCAGAGCAGCGTGGGCAGCAGGGCAGGGAGGGGATTCTGCCCCTCTGCTCTGCTCTGCTCTGCTGAGACCCCACCTGCAGGGCTGCACCAGCTCTGGGGTGCCAGCACAGCAAGGACATGGAGCTGCTGGAGAGAGTCCAGAGGAGGGCCTTGAAGATGATCAGAGGGATGGAGAAACTCTGCTCCAAGGAAAGGCTAGACAATCAGGTGTGTTCAGCCTGCAGAAGAGAAGGCTCTGGGATGACATAATTGCAGCATTCCAGTACCTGAAGGGACCCTGCAAGAAAGATGGAGAGGGACTTTTTATATGAGAATGTAGTGACAGGACAAGGGAGAATGGCTTCAAAATGAAAGACAGTAGGTCTAGATTAGATATTAGGAAGAAATTCTTTATTGTGAGTGTGGTGAGGCACTGGAACAGGTTGGCCAGAGAAGTTGTGGATGCTCTATCCCTGGAAGTGTTCCTGGTCAGGCTGGAAGGAGTTCTGAGAAACCTGATATAGTGAAAGGTATCCCTGTCCACAGCAGGAGAGTTGGTGTTCCCTTTAAACCCAGGTCATTCTATTCTTCTATGATAACATACAGACTATAAAAGTTCTTTAATTACTAATATTATTAAGCAGAGTATGAAAGAAAGCCTCAAAGCATTCTTTTGAAAGTCCAGGTGAATACATGAAAGAAAGCATATTATTTTGTAGGACATATTCCTGGTGTGAGGGAGAAGAAAAAAATATTGATATCAGTGACAAAACTTCCCTTAAACACACTTATTTCATGATCATGTCCTAAACAAGCAAAATTTTAATTAAAAAATGAGAGCTCTTAGCTTCATTTGGATGCCTGACAGATCAATCATGAAGAATAAAAGAAGGGGAGCTAGGAAAAAAAAAATCAAGCTATTTCTCTGTAAGTGATCAGGAATGATTTCACAATGGACCCTAACAGAGGATGAAGTAAGAAACTGTATAATGGACTTACAGAAAGGAAAAAGAAAATGTTAAAGAGACATTAAGGATATTTTCCTTCAGTCCCTGCTGTAATAATCTGAGATATGGACTGATGTCCACAGTTTACAAACTTCAAAAATACTTATTTACCATCTACATATCCAGACCTCACTTTCAGAGAAGACAGTGATACCAGCAGTATGCACACATGGAAAATTGTATCTGTTTGTAATACATTCATATTTTTCATACTGTATTTCTACTGCCTGTGTTCAGTTGACCCCCAAAAGGTACCTGTTTGAAGGCATACATACAGTGATTACCTTGGCAACAGATGCACGTGAAAGTTTTCAGAAGAGATTTTTTCTCATATATTCTTTTTCTTTTTCCCCTCAGTGTTGGTTTGTATTGGTATGTATGTTCAGGCTACAAACTTTATCTATCGAACTTCAACTGCAAAGTTTCAACCGGGACTTTTCTTATTTTCTGCTTTCCAGCAGCTTATGATTCACGATTTGCTGGTGAATGGAGAGACTGCTATCTGGTGGAGCATGCTGCCCCACCAGAAATACACAAACCTCTGCTGAAACTCTACAAATTGTTTACATGACCGTTTGAATAATGAAAAAGATTTTTATTAGTAGTGAAGACATGCCTATACACAACTGCTCATGGACAACTGTTTAAATCAGAAGCCCCAGACTGAATTTTCCCAAACATTTTGATTTAACATGTATATACACACATGCTTAAAATACATAGCCATACTAAAAATTAATTATTAATTAGAATCAATTTACTTTATATTTATTAAATATTAGCAATCCTGTTTCACAGGCAGAGATTGACCCCAAACATATAATATAAATAATGCTATTTACAATCTCCTCATTTTAAAATCAGTCTTATTTGGAATTTTGCATGTTATAAATTGGTGTCTTATTACAGCAAAAAATTTATTATTCATCTGAAAATATCATGTAAGCAGTCTGAGTAGTGGATTGTATACCTTATCATGTATAAATATTATTAGAATCGGAAATTATTATATAAAAGAAATTACGCTTCATGAAAAATCCAATAAAGTACAAGTTTGGAAGGTCACTTTTTTCATTTAGCTTCTTTATACTTCCAAATTAGTTCATGTTAGATGGTTGGATATGATTATGCTCTTTATCCAATTTTACAAAAATCTAGATATCTCCTCCACAGGTATAGTAATAGCTCTAGGAGCAAACCAGAAAGCCATTACATCTTTTTGATGATCTTACCATTGTTTTCAGTGAATGAAGAATCACTTTACACAATACCTATTTCTTCTGTTTCCTCCCCACAGCAGAAATAATGCCTTGAGACACTAGCGGAATTTTCAGTTTTGGAAGAGTCTTGCATTCGTATTTAAGAACAAAAATCAGCAGCCTTTTTGTGTGCCTTCCTCTTGGTTGCTGGTTTTGGTAGCTGGTGGTGCTATATCTCATCCTGTGTGGGACATTAAAACATATCTCCCACCACCGAGGGTGTAATGCAGGACCCGTGGTATTAGCAGAAAGGTTCCGTCATTTTGGTTAGGCTTCACATTGGTTTTCTCCTTCTGCACTTGGTACTGATTCATTGCACTAACCAGGATACAATTTTCTTCTGTCAGTGCAAGTGAAAATACAGAAATACTGTCTTCCTTATGAATGAGCTTTATTTGTAATGAGAAATACCAGAAATGCAAAACTGTTTTCAAAGTACTTGAGCTTGAAATAACAAGTATTTGATAGGGCTGTTCTACAAGTATTCGATTTGTTTTGAATTCTTAGTTCTCTCCCTGTCTCCTTCTGTGTAATTTTTTTTTTAAGTATTCATCACTAAATTGTAAACCTGGCCTTGATAGTGTTCCTGCTCTGTTTTATTTTCCAGCACAATATCTGTGCTACTGTACAGTAAGGCTAAATGTGACGGATAGGTAATAATTTGTCAGTGTTTCAGGCAGAATTCAGGGACAATTGTGATTTGGGCTTCCAACTTTAAAATGTGATGTATAATTGACATTTTGATACTTCGAGGCCATGGTGTATTCTCACACTTCCATGAAAAAAAACCCAACTTGCTGACACAATCAGGAAACAGATGGTGACAAAGATCTTGCATTTAATATGCCAATCATTATGCTTTACTTGCATATTATCATCTCATTCATGAGGCCACTATATGAAGGAATTTTGCTATGCCTCTGCAAATCAATCAAGAAGTCTTTTAGTAATTTTTTTAAAATATAATTTAGGTCTTTCTTATCCTATGTTTCATTATATTTGGGGTGAAGTGTTTATGCAAATTTATTACACATGAAAAAATGCTTTGACAATACTGAGGCTAGAATAGATGTCAGCAATGAAACATTCACTATAGATAGCTTCAACAGAGAGACCAAGAAATGACTTGGCAACTGAAGTATCTGCATTTTCCATACTTTGCTGTGGTCCTTAATCCAAAGGCAGTGACACAGTAAGACAGTATGAAGGATGATGTCGAGTAGGAGGATGGATTTGGTAACGTGGCCTCATATCTACTAAGACCTGGACTTCAGTCAAAATTTCTGCTCAAGAAAACCACAGATGGCAGATTACCAATATATTTCAGTTAGAGTTAGCACTGGATTTGAAATCACTGAGTATTTGAGCCAAGCAAACCTCTTCTTCAGCTCTGAAAATAGGCACTTTCCTTGTGAGTGTCTGTCACAGAATCCCATCATACAGGAGTGAGTTCATCCACTCACAAACTGAGCAAGGACCCTTCTTGGACAGCCTGAGGTCCTCTGAAGACATTTTAGACCATTATTACAAGTGGTGAGCAAAGGCTGGTTCTATCATCTTATTTCTATTCTGCAATGTCCAGAGAAAGTTTCTTCCTTCGTAAGTGTCAAACACTCATGTTTAGATGGAGTGGGGATAAAGTTGTCACCATTTTTTTTCTGTCTCACTCCTACTGTCTATCTGTAGGTTCCCCAGCTTCTAAAATGTATGTCTTTCCATTTAAAGATATAAAATATATTTCTGGTTCTTTGCAAAAGGATCAACACTAGCAAGAGGACATGTAGCTTGATTACCTACAAGTGCCTTGTTAATTGTGACAGAACATGCATCTGACCTGGTTATAGTTAGGTAGTTATTTCTAAACATATTTCTCCTGAAAGTGTTCCATCCCTGGAAGGGCTCAGAAAAACACACAGATTTGGCACTTAGGAATATGGCTTAGTGGTGAACATGGTGGTGCTGGGTTAAATACTGGACTCCGTGACCTTTTCCAACCTTTTATGTGATCTTATGAATCTATGAAGTGAATGGAAATATATCCTGACTTTCAGCTTGCATAAGGTGGAGGGCAGAAAGGGAGAATGGTTTTGTGATGAAAATTAGAAAATAATTTATTTCTGGAGGAGGAAAAGGAATTTTATGCTCTTGTTCTAATCAATCCTAAACCATTGCAGGCACAGTACACTTCAACAGCTATTTCCATGAGACAAGTCTCATAGAGACAATGGATTTTAGGTGCATGAAAAGTGAGCCTGTGTTTATTTCAAATGTGTCACAACACAGAGTTTGTGGTAGCCTTTCAGGATATATATATAGCCTTTCCCCCTCCAATTTCCCTTTCCTAAACTTTAGCCATTTCTGACTACTTTTAATTTACTCCGTCAGAGCAGATCTTCACTGACTCATAGCTGGGAGTCCTGTAATCCCTATTTTGTTCTATTCCTCTCGTCCTATGGCATCCTTCATTTAGCTTGTCTAAGCAGACTTGTGGTTTACAAACCCAGAAATCCTCAAAGTTTCAATTCTGTGTTCCTTCTAAATTGGTTAAGAAATAACAACAAACCCATTACCCCATCAAGCCCAATACAGCATTGTGTAACAGTTGAGCTGGTCTTAAACAAAGCGTCAGATTTATTATTTGTTTTATTACTTATCAAAGACAGAGGCTTACACACCTTGCATTATCTAGACAACAGTCTCTTGGCATGTCAAAAGTCAAGGTTACATCAGCTCTTGACTTTATCCAGGCTCTATGATGTACAATGTCACTGTAGCAGAGCACTTCCTCTTTGTTCTGAGAGAACTTGATTCATAATGAGCCCATCTAGAGTGTACTCAGACTGTGATAAAGAGCTTTACACAGAGGCTCCTATTTTAGAGAAACAGGTGTTGGCTTTGATTAGAGAAAAATTACATCATTCAAGGGAAAGGAGAAAAAAAAGCAAAGGGAAAGGAAAGCAAAAATAGAAAAAAGTAGCAACCAGACACAAATACATTTGCACATATAAAGCTGTTCTAATGAAAGCCAAATTGATTTGACATTCAGTGGCAGTTTGAAGCCAAAAAAAGCAAAGCAGCCTACAAAAGGCCCAGCTCATTGTTTATGGAGTGTCATACTTCATCATCTGTGAGACCAATAACAGTGATGGGAAGACCTTTAAAGCAGGGAGTTTGCACAGAATGGCTGTGTGGATACCACTGATGTCAGATGCAGTAGAATGATTGTGAGCTATTTCCTGAATTGAAATCATGTTTGTCAGATTAAGTAGATTCTCTCTATGGATTACATCTTTAAGAACAGTATTTAGAACAGAATTGTTAGAATTCTTGGTTGATTTCTCCTAGACAAACACAGCCACAATATTTATCCTATGATGTTTACTGATCATCAAACTGCCCTCAAGAAAAAAACACAGAAGAGAAAAAATTACCTAACATGCAAAAGCAGCTTCCAGTACACAAAAATTAATCTCTTTAGGAAAAAAAACTTTGCACAAAAAAATGTAAATTAATTTAGGCACCCTTTCATCATATTTATTTTCATTGATTACTTTGCAAATATTTTTACAAACATGATTTTTTACGTTTCCATTAAAGTAGTGGACCCCTGTTACAAGCAGACTGTGGAATATATTTCGTCCATCTCTGTTTTCAGTTAGAACACCTGGTGAGGAGTGACATGTTTATCAAATGTTGGTGAATGCCAACATGAATTAAATAAGCCTTCAAAAAAATGTGAGATAGTATAGACTTGTACAGGAAAGGATATGTGTGGAAAGCAGTCTCTCTCTTTCTGCCTTCTAGCTATGATCTCAATCTAGATATCACAATATTGATATTAAATTCTGATACTAATGTTTCTGTTTAGATTTCACCAGAAAATCTGTTTCTTTTTGGGCAAAAAATTCAGAAATTTCATCCTCCTAAGTTGCAACTCTCTAATGACTCATTGAAGTACAAATAGACAGTGATCTCAAATTAGCAAGTCAGTAATCACATTTCACATGTAGTATCTAGTGTGGCTTTATAATTCAAAAGCACTATTAGGGTGACCAAATATATAATGGATGGCACAAGTGTGGACAAAAAAAAAATTAAGAGAGAAAGATACAAGTGGGTAGATCTAAGTAAGTAAATGAAACATTCTCTTTCATTCACTTTGAAAACAAAAATCAGTTTAACTTTTTGGGGTGTGTGGGTATGTGTGTGTGTGAACCTTCCATTCTGTAAATGACTGAATTGGTGAGTTTCTAAGCATGATCACCCACCACAACAAATAGATCTGTAGGTCAAAGTGTTTAAATATTCTCCAAAATCCAACATGATGTTTATATTAAGTCTTGTACTCCGTGCTATATGAAGACAGTGTACATTGGTTATTAATTATGTAAGCAGATATAATTCCTGCTGTGTTAGCTTTGCATTCTAAATCATATGATTTAGTTTCTTTTGTCATACTTAGGAAAATTATAAGTTAAACCAGAATAAATTACAAATTTCAAAATTCACTCTGTAATAGTAACTCGAGATTCAAGGCTGTACCTATTCAAGCACAGTAGACTTCAGTTTGCAGAAGTGGGGTTGCTCTGTGTCAAACACACACAGGTTTAGCTGTCACTCTGATCCTCCACTGATGGCAATTAATTCTAATAAATTGCACACTATAATGCAGGCAGCATAAGAAGCCTTCCGACAAGTGGATTTCACTTTAATTCAGGCTGTAAATGCTCTCATGGATAACTGTGCTATGGAAAAAGTAAACAGGAAATCAGTTAGTGAAGACTGAAGAAATTCGTTGCTACCAAATTTTGTTAAAACATTTAAAATGTTACCTTTCAGGATTCAGTGTCAGAATTATAACACCACAGAAGTGAATTTACATTTTCCTTAGAGCTATTGTTTCACACTGTCTGAAGATTCAGGCTATGTCTTTCACTGGTGAGAAATGATGTATTTTATATCAAGAAATGTAAACTTTTATAAATTAGTGAAAACAAGAAGACAAAATTCACTTTAATGTTGCTAGTCAAGGTAAACCTCAGGCCCACATGTGCCATTATATTGACAAAATGTAAAGGGAAATCACATGATATTAACTTGAAAATATATTATTTCCAAGAGATCATCGTACTCATTACCTGCTGTTCAGATGGGAATATTCTCTCCACAGTTCTACACTCACAAAATCTGAAAGTACCTTGCATTTTAGTACCTTCTATTTCCTTTAATATCTGTGAAAAGTAAGTTTTTATTTGAAATCTTTCTGAAAAAGAGAGAACCAAATTAAATAGTCTCAGTGTATAAACTTATGCATGATATTAAAAAGAAATATATTACAAAATAAATTTTCTTGGCACACATTACAATGTATTGTTTATATTAGTTACAGACAAGATTTTTTTTCACCCTATCATTTTCTTCTTTGTATGCTATATCAAGACCAAATAGCCTTTGTGGAAAACATTCAATAGTTATCTTAGAGTGAAGAACAGTGAATATTTTAAATTTCTAGTCCAGTTATGGAAAATTTATATGACAAAAAACTAACATTGACAAAACAGTTTTTCATGTTGATTTTTTTTACCAAACAATTGGTGCCATTAAACGGAAAACCATTCTCAAGTATTAGATTTAGGAGCTGCTTAGTTCATAAAGGACAACTGATTTAGATGTGCAATTACCAGGTATGAAACAGCTGTTTCATCTAGCAAAAAAATTTGAGCAAGTCACTAAAAGCTAAAGATAGACTAAGAAATAAAGATTTTAGTTTTATATTGTTTTTCTGACAGTGAGGGTGATAAACTCCTGGAACAAATTAACTCAGCGATGTACACTGCACACTGCCTGCATTATCTGAAACAGAAATGGATTTTTTTTTCCCTGAAAGACATCCTTGACTAATCCAAAGCTGATACATAATTTTTCACTCCAGATAAAATGTGGGAACTTCCCTTCTCTGATAACTATATTAAGTGTGTAACTTCGCATAGCACTTCCTTGCTGTTATTGTTTGGGTGGTTCAGATAGATGGCTCCTGAGTGGTGCCTACACAAGTTGCTTGGCTCAGGGAAAAAGATATTCAGTACAATTTTGTGCTTGAGTTTTATGTAGTTCTAATAGTCAGGATAAACTAGGAATTTCTGTCAAGTTTTTATTGGAACCTGAAAGACATATAAGTACACAGAAGGAATAGAAATAAATCCTACCAGAGTGAAAATATTCAAGTGGGAATTCTGTAAGTGGTCATTTAGATTTTTAGCCCCTTGACATAGTCAGTCTTATCTGCAGGATTGTAGCAAAAATAATGTTAAATTAATTCTTTTTACTTCCAGTGACCACAATCTGTTTACTTATATTCTACACAGCCAAGTCTGTCTGTACCATATTTTATTCCATTTATCTCGCTTAAGCCTGGTAAATTCACCCTGCTATTCCTTTCACAGCTCAGTAGAGTCACTGAGCATGGTCTGGAGCTGCTAAACACCTTCTGAAGAAGTCTGGGATAAGCAGGTATACTGAAAGCCTCACTGATGCAGGTAATCTTTATGCCTGATGGAAAAAAAGACTGTACAAGCCATGAATGGAAAAAAGATGGCATTAAAAAATGATTTATTCTTAGGCAACTAAGAGGATTGAAGCTGGACCTGCAAACAGAACAAGTTAAATACAGACAGTAAAATAAGAACAAGCAGTTATATACAGTTATATACATCTTTAATAGAAACTTGCAGTGAAAAAAAAATAATTCAAAACAAGTATGACTACTAACTACAAGCTCTATTACTTATAAGTTATTTTTTAATATTTTAGATTATTTATCAAGGATAAAATTTTCTTTTGCTTGGGAATACAGTAAGAAATTATCTGAAGAAGAAGGAAAAAAAGATGAGTTATTGTAGGAAAAGAACCAAAATGCAAGCCCCTGTTCCTCGACTGCATATTCCACTCTCTTGTTGCAGTGAGCTGTTTGGAGGCTTAAACAGTTCCACAGACAGAAAATCTTCACTCATGCCAAACCCTTCATTACAAAGCTGAGTTCCATAACTAAGTCTAGGCTTAGACCTTGAACAAAACTATGGGAGGCTTCAAGTTGTCTTCTATACGTCTTTAAGGCCACCAGCTCACTCAAAAGTCTCTGAGTAGTGAATCCAGTTCTAATTGTGCAGCTGGAAGTGACTGGAGATCAAACCGTGCTGTAGTGACTTGCAAAAGTTGAAAATGAATTGAAAATTACTTCCTGGGAAGTCACTTTGCACAAAGTTCACATGACATCTGTTTCCAAGAGATCCATAGACACAATTCATGCATCATTACAAGCCCGTCAGTTTCTTGAAAGGAAATGCATCTACCTACACTGTAGCACACAGATCTGTGACTTTCACTAACAGAAAGTGGTTTGTATAAGTAGCTCCAAAACTATGGTTTTAACGTGATACCTTAAGATGCTTAACTACAATGTAAGAACTGAATGCAGTTTAGTAGTTATTGTTGTAGTTCAGAGTGGAAACCTAACTTATATGCTCTGAAAGATTTCATATTCATGGACATGGCAGATGTTGGATGCATGTGGCTCTCTGGGTAAAAAAGAAAGGGGGAAAATCAATTAAGACAATGGGAGGAAAATAATTTCATTTCAAAATTATTAACTACATGCCATCCTTTGAGTATTGCAGAATTTTTCTTGTTCTGAAAACGAAGTGATTTTTATTTGGTATTCATCATGAGTATGACTTTTGGACAAAAAAATATAAAAAGATCTTAACACCAGACATGTCAAATCCCCTCTCATAAGGAACCTGCAGGATGGAAAACTTTGCATTATGTGTATTAAAGAATGACTATGCAAAGTGAAAATGCTTTCTAGTGAGATGTCCAAACTATAATAAAATAAATATCTACATGAAAATATTCCTCTAACAGTAAGAATTGGTGAGAACAGAAATTTTTATTCCTGGGCCTGCCTGTGCAAAGATAAGTATCATTCTCAAATCTATGAAACCCCAAAACATAAAGAGAAAACAACTCTATACTGTTACCCAAATCTACCTGTATTTCAGCAGCAGCAGCTACTAGTCAGCAAGTGGGTTTTAGTTAGTTATCTCATTGCAAAACAAAATAAAACAAACAAAAACCAAAACAAACAAGCAAAAATCCCCAAACACAAATAACAACAAACTAAATGAAGCAGGTTTTGGTGCTAAAAAAAGTAAACCAGTGTGATTTTACTTGACAACACTCTTGCCCAGCTTCTTTGCTTCATCGCTTTATTCCAGCCCCTGAAGTGAAGAGGATATATATGTAGGAAGAGACTGGTTCAGTAAAAAGGTGGGGTTTTTATACAATTATTATTTTACTGTAGAAATACACTAAACAACTAAAATAGAAAATAAAGCAGTTTTGCAGGGGTACTGTATAAGCAAGCATATCTTTATTTTCCACATACTATGTGAAAGGAAATTGAGTGGTTTTTGGTCAACTGTGAAATGCCATTTTGCCATGGTTCATTGGGATTTCTTTCCCCTAACTTATTGCAAGTTTGGTTTTGTTTATGAAAATAGATTTGATCAGCTAATCAGGATGTAGAGGCAGTGTTCCCTCATTCAGCAATATTCAGCAGGTTTTATTCACTTTTATACTTCATTACATTTTCACTCTTGGAAACTCATTTACATAGTCTCCGTATGGTCATTTCACAGTAACTGTTTCTGACTCTGGTTGTGCTGGCTAATAATTACCCTAAGCTATTTGAGAATACCCAAGTATGTACTTGAATATACAGTTATTTCTTAATACTCAAACTCTAGATTGAAAGGTCTTTGACTAGTCCAATACTACAAAATGTCAAGCTGTTTACCAACAACAAAGACTGTGCCTCTGCTTCTCAGCCCCTGCAGTGAAGCTGAAAATGCCAGTGTTTACTTAAAGAAGGAGAGGGAGAAAAAGAACACCCCTCCTCTATGCTTGATCCTGTGGCTGTTGGAGTGAATATTACCTTTTGTCATTGATTTCAATGGGGATTGAAGTTGACTCTATAATCTTTTTAAAGACTCCGCATTTCTGGAAAATATTACACAATAATACTTTCTGCAGATGAGGTTCTGCTTTATTTCCTCATCTACTGATTTAGTTTAGGTTTCCCATCATCTTATATACAGAACCATGATGTCTGTGTATCTGAACATATAATTTAACTAGAAAAATAAGGAAGGAAACAAGAATTTTCCTTTGGAAATTCTGTAGGCCAAAACCTGCATGTATTTTTACCATAGCATCCCAACTTCCCTGAGTTTAGGTGACTTCTTTCCAGCATTATTGTGGCACAAGGTGGCTTATTACTAAGACTTCATTTTTTAGTCAGAATAGAGTTGAATTAAATAACTATGGAAAGGGTCAAAGGCAAATTATGAAAGGCAGGACTTTCTTCCTGTTCCTCCTTAGCAACTGATTTTAAAATGACAGTAACTTTAATCATCAGTTACAGGGTATTAGAAATCATATAGGGTTTTAGAATTTGGCAGAAGAGATAAAAAATTTCTGAATGGGGATGAAAGAAACCACAGAAAAGCCTATGAAAACTGCAGGAAAAAAATCCTTGTTTGATATTTTACAGAATACACAAAAAAATAACATTTGGATAATCATTAAATAATACTGTGGAAGTCTACTGTGCAAACAAGGAGTTTCTCAGGGTTGTGTATGTGTGTGCTATTTAATTGTTTTGGATTTTTGGTTGAGATTTCTTTTCAAAAAGAATGATGTGCTCTAAAAAGAGGACAAGCTTGGTTCAGTTATAGCTTTCATATAATTACTACAAACTAATGCAAATTAGACTGTAGGTCTGCTCAATGTACATTTCTGTGCTTGCCAAATTATGTTTGGCAGTGTGGTCAAGCAATAACAGATGCACACTGTGCCTAGTTTTCTCGGGCTGTTCAATAATTAGGAGGGCCATGTATTATAATAAACCACATCCCCTTGGCTGAGATTTGGATGCAAATTGCACACTAATTCACTTCCAAGTTTTTGGAAGCATACCAAAAGACATGAAAATTAGGGAAATATACTATTTACTTCATGAAATGTGTTTAAAACTAAATAAAGCTCATTTGTAAGCAATGTTCATCTATTCCATCCTTGTAAAAAAATTAACAATGAGTTCCCTTTCCTTCACACTATTTAGTTCAGCAGCTAATGTGACACCTCTGCAATGTTCATGGCATCTCTATTATTCTTGCACTGAGAGAGTACAATATAAAAGACAGTTACTCTGCTTTGTATTTCTCTAAGGTATTGCTGAGGTTGAGTGGATAATATCAGTTCAATGAAAGACTTGAATCACACTGCAATCCAAATTCTTTGCAATCAGTTGAGTTGTAACGGCATGCTGTTTATAGCAGAAAATTCGTCTTTTGAGAAGGCTGAAGATTCTTTACCCTTAGCTATTATACAATGGGTGAATGGAGAGATTTAATTAAAAAAAAAAAATACTTAATGAGGGAAATTCTAGAAAATCCAGCAACGTAATGCAGTTACACGTGTAGATGTAACTACCTCAGTCTCTAAATTATGAAGAAAAAGAAAATTCAAACAATTGAAATTATTGCTGTACATATTAGCAGGTAGTTACATTTTCCTGGAAATCATTTTACAGTGAGCTGTCTGCAGTAACAGTTAACACACTTAAACAGAGAAATATAATGCAACCTGCAAGTGGTGTAATAGGAGATATATCTCCTGTGTTTATTGTCTACTAATTGTAATGTGATTGCACCAAAGAGGCATAAGACTTATCTCTATAGGCTCTAGACAAATACAGAAAAATGGCAGTGAAAATGGCACATATCAGAACCCTCTCCTGCAGTATTATTTTAATTTTTTTGTTTTTGTTTTAAGAAGAGATATCATGGAACATAGTTTTGTAAATATTATGAAGTAATATTAAGTATTTTATATTTTCCAGTGATGTTAAAACAATTCTTTGCAAGAAAACAATGAGGCAAAACATTGCTTGCCAGACATAAAAAAATTACTTTCAATATATTCTGTACTGACACTACAATTTTAGTGACTACATTGTAGTTTTGACATGGGAGACGTAATTGTAAACTAATTCACATGGAAATCAGCAAAAATCTCTATAGTAAAGCAGAAGTCAGTAAATTACTGAAGTCTTAACTATTAAAAATTCGATAATACAGAAATAGAGGCATAATACAGGAGGCAAGTGTCCTATGATTAAGGTTGGTTTAGGAGGATAAATCAATGCTGTGACACATAGCTACAGCTAACTATTATGTACCTCAGGTTTACAGTTATGTAGTAGGTGTTTTCCAGGTGTTTCTTAGGTGTTTATCCTATTCAGTGGTTGTTGATATTGCAGCTATATAATCATAGACTAACAGAACAGCAACAAAATTCTTCTTTCCAGCATGATGAATACAGAGTTAACTACATAAAACAGTTTTGGCAAAAGTACTGCTCACTCTGTATGTTGAATTTGAAAACAGGATAAAGACTAAATGTGATAAAGCAGCTGAAATTGTCAATTCATTTGCATCATTTAAATAAGAGAACTAGGAAGAGCTTTAGGTGAATTCTGCAAAAAAAATCCGGTTGAACAATGAAGCAGCAAGTAAGTCTCAACACAGATAAGACCCCCCCCCTAAAAACACATTAGTGGAAATGGTCCAAAGTATTTATACATAATGATGTCTTCTGAATTAGTTGTAACCACTC